TGTTTTACGTGGGGAAAATCACAGACGGAATGATAAAGCATAATTTTTTTATGAAAATATTTTACAACAGACACTGACGTTTCGCACAAATCTCGCTTCTTTTCTTTCTTAGTAAATTTTATTCATAAATCATAAGTTTTTTACCTAGGTTGCTTATTGACAAAAGGGTGCGTGACAGTTCTGTTGCCTCCCGCATTATTTGGGCATATAGTTAAGCAGTAAGTATTTTAAGCCTAAGTTAGCATTTAGTGACTGCTTTAGATTTTTCAAGTCCTGTGGAAACTCGATTACAAGTTGATGTGAAACGACCATTTATTGCATTCCAAGACTTTCCGAGAATCTAAGGGTCAACATTAGCAACATATTTTAGCCGTAAGCTGAACTACATGAAATGCGTTCCGTGGCCCGGAAAGAAAAATGAACCATAAGGCTAAATCGACAAATTTAGCGAGATGAATTATTTTAATACTAATTGCCAGAATTCACGTTCTGGCGCTATCTGTGATGAACATTGTGACGTTGCTTATTTCAGTGACTTTTGTAGGAGTAATTTAATGCCTTACCGAAACCCTGTAAACCCCGAATGTTTACATGAAACTGACACTAGTATTCTGGGTTTATTAGCAAAGTGTTAGCTTTCTATACCGTTGAGAAGATTCTTCTGTTTCTTCTCCGCATTGGCAGAACGAAGTCAAAACATCCCTTTGCTACTGGTCTCATAGGATTAATATTTCTTGAATGTTTCTTCTCTGTTTTATTACGTAATAGTGTATTCTATCACGGTATCGCGCTGTTTTCAGTCACTGGTGTTTCGTTAATCGTCATTGATCATTTAGCTCAGCGCTTTACTCGTTTTGTCGATATTCTGAACGATATTGGAAAGAAGGAAGAAGAGGTCGGGCAGCTACTTCGTGACGGCAGTGAGGATTCGTTGTCGAACCTATCTGACGATGTGCTGAATTCTCCTGAAGCTGTTTCTGATGTTGAATATGCAGCCGAGGACGCTGCTAACGACGAGCTCGAGCACATGGAAATGTCGCAGCAAGTGGAGTGTTTGACAACAGAATTTGATGAATTTTCAGATAGGTACGTGGGATGATATAAAAACTAGCTATTCATGACTAGTCGCGTTATTTTTGTTGAAAGAGGCATTTGAACTGACTCGTGGCAGATCATCTGTTGTTGATAACTGCAATACAGTAGAGTTTTAGCTTTGCTGTAGATTACTTATTTCGCGGATAAGGACTAAAAATTGGCGTTTGCTTTTCAGCGAAATAGATTTCGAAGTATGTCAGGTTGATGGCCCTCCCGGCTCACGAAGTCGGCGGAAAGTGCCGCTACGAAAGTTTATATCCGAAGATTCGTTTGACGGCAGTCAGAGTGTCAGCGTTCGGAAAGTAAAATCGTTTGATTGCGCAAGTTCTTCAAAAGCAGTGACTGAATCCGCAACTCATACCGTTTTTGAAGCGTTAAATACAGGTTCGGCGAAACGTCAACAAACAACGAGGGTATTTCGTCCCGTTGTGGAACTGGTGAACAAAACAAAGAGTGAGTTAATCTAAATCTTATCAAGGGTGAGCTTACTACAATGTTTCAGAAAAAAAGCAGGCAGCTGCAAGTTCTTACCTACACCAAAAGCATGAACACCGAATAAGCGGTTCAGAGCAACATCTTGGTGAGAGAATTTATAATCTTGTTAAAAGTGGAATGTGGTTTTTAAAACATTGCGGTGGGCACCGTGATGTTGTAAAATTTGGATGTATCCCTGAACGTCCGGCTTTGTGTTTCAAGACAGTAGAGTCTGCAGCTAAATGAAATTCCACAGAAAATTAATCGATCAGTTTGGTTAGTCTGCGTAAAGAGGGTCGTTCTCATTGTGAATCTGCGTAATTTTTGATTGAAACAGGAATCTGATTACATTAAAAAAATTAACTGTCAAAACATTCGTCTACTTTCAAGTGCTCTCAGGCCAAACTGTTTTATTATCTGCCGCCTCTATGCATCTCGCTTTAAGATTCCTGCCGCTAGTCAGAACGACACCAGTATGAAACCGCTTCAGGTATTCGTCTGCACAGAACCTGTTGCTTCGAAGAAGCTGATTATTACAATAGTTTGTTTAGTTTCTTTGGGAACAACAATCGCCACGCTTTATCTGTCGAATAGCGTTTAGGATTTTCTATCGATTTGCCAATTAAAGCCAAATAGTTACAGGTTGACATCATTTCCAGTGCATGAACGTATGCCACTTCATCGAAAATGTTTTACATTAGTCTTTCAGTCAACTCTTTACGTTGAGTTCAACACAATCAGAGGTACCAACCTTTCTTATTAATGAAATGAATTTACGTCATGCTTTCCCTGATAAATGCAAGCGGTACTCAATTATATTTACGTTCCGGTTTATAGTGGTAGTATCTTCTTCACAGACAGACTTCCTAGAAGAGATCTGCCCGTCTTGGCTTACCACTGTCTCTAGCAGCCTTTTGCACTGCTCCAGACAAATTTTCAGCATTAGTGTTATGGTAGGGACTAATATAATCAATTCATGTTATGTTTCTTCTTAAAAACATATAACTAGCACTTATTTTAAGCGTATTAACTTTGAGTAAAGGTAAAAAATACAAATGATGTGGTGCTGAATGGGTTATAAAACAGTTTAACGGACTACAACCGTTTTATTGCACTGACACTTGCTGCTGCATGCGCATATGATTTCTTGAGTTGATTGTATTTTTAAACCGATCTTGCATTCATAGTCGCCTTGTAGTTTTATCAACTAGAGGCAATACCTCGTACCTCATCGTCACGTATATTTTGAGACCTAACATTCCTTTTTTGTCTTGGCAGCAATAGCAAAAATATGGTTTACGTCGGGTACTTAACTAGCGTAATTCACATTGAGCAACTTGAACATTAGAGTACACAACTTCTATCCGTTGAAAGCCAGGCTCTTCAAATGGAAGCATAAATTTAATTTTGTAGGTAACGCGGAAAAATTCACGTCCGCTGATATGGAAGCATCACCGGCGCGGTCAGAACTCTGTCGAGCATCATGGTAAGTTTGGTGTTAAGCCTTCTTGTTACGATCAGTGACGTTTTTCAATGTGGTTTTGAGGTGGACACTGTAAAACTTTTGTTAATCACGGCTAATAAATAGACCAATGCTATCAAAATTTACATCTGACTGCAGATTGCATGAAAACAGCCTTTCTCAAGGTAAAGCAAAATCGTAGCTTCTTTCGGCACATATCACTTGGACCAGCCAG